CCCGGGGGCGACTACCCCCTTGCCCCCTCTTGCTACGCTACTGGCTACATAACTCATAAAAAAATGATCGGATTTTGATACAACTTGGTAGAAATATGTAGAATATTATTACTCATTGTCCTCCCAAAAATGGCCACTGTCAGTTGATAACGACGGACATCTTTTACTATTTTCTGAGAGCCGAATCTGATCAACGCTGCGTGGCAAAGGTATGCGCTCCAATGAGTGCCCCTCTACTCACAACTGTGACATATTTCACGGGGGATTGAGTGGTGAAACTGGGGCTTATAACGATGGAAAACCGTAATGTTCAGTGATTACTCTTTTTGCGATGGTGAGTTAATATCGTGGACAATAATGGTTTTAGAGGGGGGAAAAAAAATCCGGAGTCTGCCTTGTGTCTCTCTCAGCCCAATCTGAATCCAACTGAACTACTTTAGGATGTTTTGGAACAGATCACAAGATCTCATCACACTTTGTCACTTACAAAGTGGAGTGGCGGTCTATTCCATCAGAGATACACCAACGGTTAGTGGTAAGTGTTATTACTGGGGTGGGGAGCTGTAACAGACTCCAGAGTCCAATAACTATCACAGTGAAGTACTAATAGGAACACGCGACATCCTTGTTTCAAGGCACGCAGTCCCAGCACTACCTATAGTACAATATAGTTGATGTAAGTCGGATCCTTTCAACCGACTTGTGTATTTTTATTTAATTTAGCGTTTCAGTTATATAGTTATCAAGGTTTAAGACAGACGAATATGAATATATTGATGTTCCTAGTCATTAACTTTTCCTGTATTTCATTTAGTTTGCATCTCCCAACGTTCAACCGGAAACAACACCTAATCTTTTTGTATTTGGTATTTAGTGGCACTCGACTCGCAACCTGCAGGTCGCGGGTTCAAATCCCCGCCATCGAATATCCTCGCCTCCTTTTAGCCGTAGGGGCATTATAATGTGACGGTCAATCCCATTATTTGTTGACAAAAGGGTACTCCAAGTGTTGGCAGTGGGTGATGTTGACTGGCTGCCTTCCCTCGAGTCTTTCACTGCTAAATTAGGGACGGCTAGCGCAGATATTTCTCGAGTAATTTTGCGCGAAAGTCGGAACAAACCGAATCTTTTGTATTTTCACCTGCGATATGAGACGTCTCTGCATAATTTCTTTTCTTTTTTACAAACTTTTCACCTTTGTTTTAATTGAGACGCGAAAGCAGATACCAGTTAAATACATAAAACAAATAACAATAGCCAGAATTGAACGGGGAGAATAAAGTCGAGGCGGGAATAAAGGAGTAGCAGTCAAAGACGAGAAGAGGACCGCATATATAATGGCTCACGTCCTACTCTTCACTATAAATAATATTCGTGACTTGGCATATACTGCATGTCTCCCCCTCATCACATTTGGTTGCTTCCAAGTTCCCGTGATCCTCAGCGCGCAGGTTCTGCTTCCTTGGGGCTTTAGCTAAGATCAATAGGAGAGTAGACCTATTCGTCTTTCGCTCTCGTATCCAATGTGTTAACTGTAGTGCAAGACCTCTCCACCCCAGCTTCCTGACTGGTGGTAAGTCTCTTCCGTCTCGATAACTAGGATCTCATCTTTAAAAAAAAACAGGTTTCTCTGGTTTTGAAACAATGAGTTTAACGTTTTAAAAAAAACAACAACAATAAAACTGTCTCATTGGGCACCCGTTAGTGTGAAGCCGTGATTAGACTGAAGAGGGGGCAGCGGTGAGACAGATTTAGCAGCTTTGGTCCATATAATTATTCTATCACTTTTCAAGAATTCGGTTGTGGATTACTTCAGCGTAACCCTGGTGAACGGGTGTTTGAGAGTATACACTCATCAACTGGGAGAAGCTGTTGACAGACTGTTACAGGTAAAGCCTAAGTTTCGTAATTAATAATGGGTCTCATACAAAGGAAGTTAAGAATTTTGATTCCTTTTTTGCAGGACTTTAGATAATTTATTGAAATATAGGACTAATTCTTTTTATTTTTGTAATAAGTGCAATTTCTGTTGCTTTGGTTCAGAATAAGAGTCTCTCATACATACGTACATTAAGGTTTGATTTCGTGATATGCGACAAATTGTTTTATTATAGGTGTCGCTTAAATCATGTGAAGCTAATATATATATATCTGCTATTGATTTATAAAATCCAGAATGAAACCGTTGGACCAGCAAAGTATCGCTTTACAATATTAGTGTGTTGGAACAACCAGAAACGTATTGGTTTACAGAATTACTGTGTTGGAACAACCAGCAAAGTGTTGGTTTACAGTATTACTGTGTTGGAACAACCAGCAAAGTATTGGTTTACAGTATTACTGTGTTGGAACAACCAGCAAAGTATTGGTTTACAGTATTACTGTGTTGGAACAACCAGCAAAGTATCGGTTTACAGTATTACTGTGTTGGAACAACCAGCAAAGTATCGGTTTACAGTATTACTGTGTTGGAACAACCAGAAACGTATCGGTTTACAGAATTACATCATATTACTTTAAAAAGTTCATAACCGATAACATCTCGAACGTTGCATTTGTTTTGTTCGTCAATGAACCCTGATTTTTTTAGGACTTTCTTCGAAAGTAGTATTAGTATTAAATAAACAGCACCCCAGGTTTACTGAATACCGTTCAGTCTAAACTCGAAGGAACGATGTAAATAAAAATTTGTTCTAATTCATTAAGTTATTGTTGTTTATGAAAATTAACGTTAGCAAACAAGTTATTTAAGAACTTAATTTAATAAAAGCTGTTTTGTTGTTGTAAATAATTAAGTATTCGCAAATTGTAGTTTTTTTGTTGTTGTATATAATTAAGTATTCGCAAATTGTAGTTTTTTTTTGTATGTGAATGTATGATATCCATTTGTTACCAGAATTCGAATGGCCAGTTTGTTGGAAGATCTCTATGTTATATGATGCTTTTTTTTACTTCTTATTTAACAACAGGCTTGGGCGTGGCCAAGTAGTTAGCATACTCGGACTATGAATCCGCGCATTGATAGTTCGCGACCATTTGCCGCAAAAACGCGCTTCCTACTTTGGAGTGGTGAGTGCGCTAGAAGATTGTCGGTATTCGATCAGAACAGAGAGGAGCTGTTGACAAGCTGCCTTCCCTCTGGTGCGCAAAATTCTATAACTAGAAAAACAAATTTAACAATGATTTTACAAAATACTTCATAGACAAAAACTGGAAAAAAATCCCCTGAGATTTCATACCATATTGAATGTAATAAAGGAAAGACCATTTCATTGTATAGAAGCATTGCTTACACTCATTAGTGATAGTATTTGGTTTCGTTAACGAAGTTGGTCTTAATGCAAAGTCCAGAGATGTATGCAAATTGAATCGAGTGGACTGTATTATTTCTTATTGTTGATTAAATCTTAGTAATTGATAACATTTGTGGCCAGAATTCGTTATTTGCAGACACGTTCTTGTTTTTATCAGCTTTTTAAAGTTTTCTAACTTAAAAATAGTTTTGTGTTAATAATTGTTCAACATTAATATGTACTTGGAATATTTATAAGCGAAGTGCAAAAGGATGTTTCGTTGACGAAATGATGTTTGTTTTTATTTAAAAGTTTTCTTTCCAGTTAAAATAATGTTTAAACTGTATCTCCCTAAAAATAGTTAAATTGTTTACTTATATTGTCTGTTAAACTGTATCTCACTAAAAATAGTTAAATTGTTTACTTATATTGTCTGTTAAACTGTAGCTCAGTAAAAATAGTTAAATTGTTTACTTATGTTGTCTGTTAAACTGTAGCTCAGTAAAAATAGTTAAATTGTTTACTTATACTACAGTTTAACAGACAAACAATATAAGTAAACAATTTAACTATTTTTACTGAGCTACAGTTTAACAGACAACATAAGTAAACAATTTAACTATTTTTACTGAGTTGTTATACTGTTTCCCTAGTTATAGCTTTGATATAATGTTGTCTCCCTCCCCTCCCTCTGTATACATCCTTTGGACACCCTTATTTTAAAAAGAACTAAAAATATATTTAGTCAAATTATCATTGGTTCTAGTGGCTTCTTATCACCACAGGCAACATAAAAAATAACTAAAATTTATATTTAGCTAAATTATCCTTGGTTCTAGTATAAATGAGTCAGAGTTGTTCGTTCATTTGTCTTGCCCCCCCTGTGGCTCAGCTTAGCGGAAAGTCTGAGAGTTTATCTGGCTAGAAATCTGGTTACGATACCCGTGGTGGGCACTCATTATGTACCTTTGTGCTGATCAACAAACAAATCATCTGTCTGGTGTCACAAGTTGTTATGAGGAACTGACTGAATCTATTTTAGTTAAATTTGGCAGAGTAACTCTGAGGGCCTTCGAAATATGGAGTTTAAATGAATAAATAATCGAACTACGGGTCCGAGTCTGGCAGCCGTTTTACTGACTTAATACAGTTAACGAGGACTCATCTAAACAATATGTCGATAGTGACACGAAACAAAAGTTTAAGTATCTTTGTATCGACAGAACGCTTCGTGAGCTTGGGCACAAAATATGGGAAGGGAGCGGCCCTCATCTCCAGATGTAGCATTGATTTTTAAGACCAGCATCGCCCCATACCTTTGCTTGTAACAGTGTATTTCTGTAACCCTGAAATCACCAGTTTAAAAACGTTTGCCGAAACAATGGTCTTAACAGGCTTCTTTGCCGTCATGCAGCTATTTTTTATTATTTTGAATATCGCACAAAGCTCCACGAGGGCTATCTGCGGTAGCCATTCCTAATATAACAGTGATTGACTAGAGGGAAGGCAACTAGTCAACACCACCCACCGCCAACTCTTGGGCTACTCTTTTACCACCAAATAGTGGGATTGACCGTCATATTATAACGCACCCACGACTGAGAGGGCGTGCATGTTAGATGATTGGGATTCGAACCCGCGACTCTCAGATTGCGAGTCGAGCGTCCTATCCACCAGGCCATGCCAGTCCCTGTTATGGAGTAAAAAAACAAAAAAACAACAACATTATTACACTAATATAACGAGGATTTAGGAGCGAGCTTCCCTGGAAAATCTTTATAAATGGGGTGGATTTTTTTTTTACTCTATGGGGGGGGGGTCTAGATACAGTGGATATCAAAGAAAAATTCACAAGCAGTTAATCCCCAACTTACAGTGAACTTTTATTTGTAACTTAATTTCATTATCATTGTCTTCGAATTTTACGGACTTACAACGCTAAAATCTGGAGTTCGATTCCCGGCAATGAACAAAGCACTGATAGTCCATTGTGTAGCTTTGCACTAATATAATAACAACAATAACCTTTTCGATTTTTTATCTTCGTAATTCATTATAAAATCTTTACCTGTTTGCAATAGTCTTTATTCTGGATCAAAACCTCAATTGAACTTGAAAAATCGTAAAACTTGTAAATTATGGGCCGAGTTCGCTGCTGCCTTGTGTACTGGATGGCCTTCTTCTCAACTCTTATTTATACAGTTTTAGTAATGGTAGGCGAGTTCAGTTGGGTTTGAGAGGTACTATAAGGAAAACGGTCCCCACTCTTCTGTATCTCGCGCTTACTCCGTCTTGTGGATATATTGGCGTTTTCTAACACAAGTAACACTTCTACGAGAGTAGTTCAAACCATCACTTTAGTGTTTCTGTGTTCTCTAAGTTACTTTCATTAAGAGTATTCAGTATATATATAATATTATTAATTTTTTCTTATTATACTTTTAATATAAAGATTGTTTTGCATTGTTGAATTTATATACGTATTTATGATTAACCAAATCTTTCCTGAGCTGACTAAAGCTCGTGAGATATTATTGGGATTATGGCCAAAAATATGATTAACAACGAAGGTGTATTTAATCAGCTATACTGATTGCCAGGTTGATTTTTAGTTTCAGTTTAACTACAGAGCTTGCACTGACTGGAAGTTAATGTTCATTGCCACCTAAGTCTAATTATCAATTAATAATTATTTCTTAATAAATTACTAATTATTAAGTAGATCGTATAGGCTACTAACCATGACAACTATACGTCAAAGCGACCCAGTAGATGTTCACACTCATTACTTCAGTGGTGATACTTTTATCATACGTTCAACCAATCACGCTTCGTTTTCTTTTATCGAACTTCTGTAAGTCATCTACTCATTATGGCGTCTGACGATGAAGAAGAAAAAATAACATCTTCGTTACTCTCATCACTTAACACTTGATGTATCACATAAAATAACAGTTACCCCTGAGGCACGTAAACATAATCCATGAAAATACTCAGAATGTGAAATGTTTAAAAACATGTCTCGTATGATATGTTAATACCACAAAAGTGGGTAAGTTAGAAAAAAAAAAGAAGGGAAAACTTTGAACCTTTTTTCTTATTGTAGCTGGAACAAGCAGCAAAAAAGAGGTCAAGTTTTACCCAATTTTTCTTGGCTAACTTACACACATTTTTAAATATTTATAGGGTTGATTTGCCCTTTAATATAATTTGAGTTTTTTATGTCCAAATGTTTTGATCGGATAGAAAAATAGATAAAATCGTTATTAGCAAAAGCAAGGTGGTTGATGTTTCAACCGAAACTTGACAGTTTTTTCTCCTCACAGCGACATTTTCCATTTACATGTTTCCATCTTTTGAATTTTTCGAAACATACTAGCTTTCTGACCCGTGCCCCCTAGTGGCACAGCGGCATGTCTGCGGACTTACAACGCTAGAATCCGGGTTTCGATACCCGTGGTGGGCAGAGCACAGATAGCCCATTGTTTAGCTTTGTGCTTAATTACAAACAAACAAACTTTCTGACCCGTATAAATTACATTCGTTGGAATATATAAATTTGTGACCACAAGATGAGGATAAACTAACGATTACTT